GGGACTAGATTGAACTAAATAGCTTCTAAACATAAAAAAAAAAAAATTAAAATGAAGAAATGCCCTACCAAATGGGAGAAAATAGAGAAAATATTTGCACACCACACATCTGGCAAGGGACCAATATCTAAGATCTACAGAGAACTCATACAACTCAACAAAAATAGCCTAATCAAAAACTGGATAGAACTAAATAGACACTCTTCTAAAACAGACATAAAGATGGCCAACAAGCACGTGAAAAAATGTTCACTTATCACCAGAGAAATGCAAATGCACCCACACCTGTGAGAATGGCCCATATCAAAAAGACCAGAAACAATAAGGGTTGGTGATGGTTTGGGGGGAAAGGAAACCCTGTACATGGGATAGGAATGTAGACTGGTCCAGTTGCTATGGAAATCAATATCGAGGTTTCTCAAAAATAGATTTCTGAAAAATGCAGAAACACCACTTGGAAGGGATATAGGCACTCTGTTTACTGCTGCACCATTTACAACAGCCAAGTTATGGAAACTACTCAAGTGCCTAATAACAAAATTAGTGGATTAAGATGATGTGGCTTAGAAACCCAATGGAATACTACTCAGCTATGACAAAGATAAATCTGGCCATTTGTGACAACATGGATGGAACTGAGGTCCCCGGGGAGGAGGGAAATTATGCTAGGCAAAATAAGTCAGGAATGATATGGAGTGAAAAAAACGAACAAAAATAAATCCTTGAAATCTCTCACTGCAGAACAGCCTACCAGAAGAGGAGGTTGGAGAGGTGAGAGCAAAGTGGGGAGGGGGCCCAATAGGACTTTGGTGGAAGATTATCAGTGCTTTGATGGTAAACTTAGCATAACATAATTTGTAGAGGTGTGAATTTACATCCCTAACACACACACAATGTTGTAAATTAATTTTACCTCAATAAACATTAAAAAAAAATCTAGTGCAGGTCACAACCCCATTCCAATTAAACCAGAATGTCTGCGGGTGGGAGTCTATTTTTATTTTAAACATGACGCTTATTTAAACAAACCTAGTAATCATTTCTTCTTAGACAGATTGCCTTACATATAATGGCTACTTACAAAAATGTTATAAATTTGCCCTTGGTTTTACAATATAATTTAAAAGACATTAAAATTCCCCAATTGAACCACGTATGCAAGAATTTTTATGTTGTTTTCATTAAACATTTAGAGCAAAAAAATTTATGGGAATAAAAAGGTGAATGAGCGAGCCACTAATGGAGAAAGGGTTACCTTCACAGAACCAGTATTTTCCCCCCATACCATCTCCATTTGATGTCTATTAAAACACATCATTGGGGCCTCCCCGGTGGCGCAGCGGTTGAGCGCTGGGTTGCGAAGCTGCCCGCAGCCTCTGCAGCGCCGGTTCAATCCCCAGCTGCTCCCCGGCCACCGGAGGAGGGTCCCGCATGGCGCGCAGACCTCTCCTGCCGCCCGCTGCTCCCCTCAGCAGTGTACTTCGGTCCTTCTGCCTGCTCTGCTCCCCGCTCTGGCTCTGGTGAATTCTCTCACCCTCCCGCGCTTCTGACTGTACCCAGTGCTTGTATGAATAAAAATAAATAAATCTTTAAAAAAAAAAAAAACATCATTGGCAGTTTAAAAAGATGCAGTATGTTTGGGCACACACACCAGTTACTTTATGCATAAAAAAAGAATGGGGAGGGAGAAGAAGAGCAGAGAAAACAATACCATAGCAGTCAGGATATGCTGGAACCAGATTGTGGTTTTCTGGAGGAACTGAGTTCTGGAGCGCAGTAGTGGGGTCCTTCGTAGTAGACAGCTCCCGCGCGCTGCTGGGGGACGTCAGCTTTATCTTCAGCTTTCATTTCCAACTGTGCTGGTGTGTGTTTCATTGAATGCCTGCCCCTCAAATTAGAATCCATTTGCCTCATTGACATCTTGTCCTTAGCAACAGGTTTTCATTAGTAAGTGGTGTATGTCTTACTCTTAACTTGCACCACACAACCATCTTGACCTGCCACCTTCAGATTAATAAAATCTTACTCTTCTTGACTCCTTCCTTGGGCTTTTTGTTGACCATGGTGTGAGCACTGGAGTCTCCTCAGCTGCCTTATCACAAGGGGTACCAAGTCTGCACCAAAAGGTGCACACAAGCAGCACTGGGATGCAGGATAGGGCATGCCCAAGCTGTGGGCTCCCTCCTCGCATCCCAGGTAGCTATAATTTTTAAAAAGATGTCCAGGTTATTCCAAAATGCAAGTTTGAGAACTGTGGGCATAACCAGCAGACTTGCCCCACTTCTTTTGAGAAAAAACCAAAACAAAACAAAACTGCTCACACAAGATAAAAGTTTCAACTTTTGTTAGGGACAATATACTGTCTAATCTCTGGGGTTAAAAAGAACATTGAGATAATTTTTGAACTGCCATATGCAAAATTCAAAGTAACCAAGTTTATTTTGTTCATCTTGCCCCACTACCCAAAAATGTCAAAAAAAATTTCTGTAAAAAAGGTAAAATTATCCAATTGAAATTAAGAGATAGTGTAGGAAATTATGCCAGATATTTTGTAATAGCAAGGTACAAAAAAATAACCCTGATTTAAGATTTACAATTTGAGCTTGGGAAACTGCTGCGGTCAAAAGAAACAAACTTGTCACGGATGTTTCCTAAATATCACTGCAAGATATAGAACATTGCAGTAAATATTTGCAATAAACTTTTGAAGTCATTTCCAGTTAAATCTGCTACCATTTTAACTGAGAAACCATCTGCCTCCCTAATGAGTCAACCCACCTTCTTACTTGATACTGAAGCCATTTGCTCTAGTAACAAGACAATGGATGCAGGTTCCCTTGTACTCAACGCACTATGTCCTATATTTGAGACATAGGATCTTGTCTTTAGAGGTTTCTTACTGCATCCTGACAGGATCCCTAAAAAATTTACTTGGGAGAAGGAATTCATAGGTAAAATAAGAGTTGGTAACTTACATCCTACCAGCTTGTGTTACTACTTCCAGTTTATTTACAGTTCTACTTCTCACTTAGGCTACAATTTCAAAAGGTTTAAATGACCTTGATTATTTTTATGTTTATACTGAATTTTAGATGTGGGCATAATTCCTCTCATTTACTTTTAGATAATAAAAAAGCTTATTTAAAGCTATTCTTTTCTTTAATATATACTTTATAACACTCATTACCTTTGTATCAAGCCCAAGAGAAACAATTCATAATTTGCCTGCATTCTGCAGGCCTCATTAAACCACTAATTACAGTAGCTGGGTAAGGAGTTAAGAATCTTTACAAACCTGCAGTTTGAGGACACCAGTTATTAGGATATGTTTATATGATTCTCCTTCCAAGCTCTGATTACCAGATTAACTTGTCTCCACTCCCTAAATAGATTCTGACCTCATTTCTTTCATCAGTTTTACTAAATCCAGCCTGACCTCTCTATCCAATTCCTGGTCCACACTCCCAAACTCCTCACATCCCTTCTCTACATGTTCCTATTTTGAACCATTTTCACATTCCAGTAGAGGGAGATGAAGCAGCAAACATTTTGGTGTGCCAAATGGAGATGTCTTTTTAACAAATGTGCTGGACAACTGGATATCCACATGCAGAAGTTACACTCCTACCTCACACATTAAAAAATTAAATTGATTCAAAACCTAAGAGCTAGAACTACAAAACTTAGAACCAATAAATCTTGATTACAGGGGTGTGGGGTGGATTAGGTAACGATTTCTTATATAGCCAAAGCACAACTAAAAGTCAATAAACTGGGCTTCATGAAAACACAAGGTTTTGTATTTCAGACACAATGAAGATGGGAGAAAATATTCACAAGTCATGTCTGCGGAGGGACTAGTAGCTAAGACAATATGCTAAACACAACTACATTTTAAGGGTGACTTGGAGAAAAAAACTTGGGAGTATATTCTGAGAAAAATCAAGTACAAAGATTGTGCAAATTGTTAACATTTCAACTCCACCAGAAATGACTTGAAATATACTCTCTAGTTTAGCAATCAAGGTACTGAAATTCAGCCAATCATTTCAGAAAGAAGCTCCTGTTTTCTTTTTTTTTTTTTTTTTTTTTTTTTATAGAGGCATGCTTTATTTATTTGTTTACTGGTTTGTTTGTTTGTTTGTTTTGTTTATACAAGCACTGGGTACAGTCAGAAGTGCGGGAGGGAGGGTGAGAGAATTCACCAGAGTCAGAGCGGGGAGCAGAGCAGGCAGAAGGACCGAAGGACACTGCTGAGGGGAGCAGCGGGCGGCAGGAGAGGTCTGCGCGCCATGTGGGACCCTCCTCCAGTGGCCGGGGAGCAGCTGGGGATCGAACCGGCGCCGCAGAGGCCGCGCGCAGTTTTGCAACCCAGCGCTCAACCGCTGCGCCACCGGGGAGGCCAGAAGCTCCTGTTTTCTTAAAGGACAAGACAAATTTTCAGTTTACACAGTAATTATCAGTTTCCTTTGCCATGGGTTAAGATGATAAAATTTAGAACAGTGATGACAAAAGTACATGAATTTTCAACCAAGTTTTGCAGCCACTTTCATACCAAATCTGTCATTTTAACTAACACTCCCAGTACTCTGTAAACACTTATCAGAGTTCACTCCTGAGATGAAAATAGTATCATCCTCCTACAGTCAAGGGGGAATGACATCAATTCACTATTTTCAAAGAGGGATTAAATTAAGGGTTAAGAATAAAAACTGGGCCTCTCTGGTGGTGCAAGGGGTTAAGCACCGCACTATGTAGCAATCTGCAGCCTCTGCAGCATGAGTTCGATCCCTGGCTGGCCAGGGAAATGCCCACATGGCTCATCAGACCTCTCCTGTCTCTCCCGCTGCTCCCCTCAGCAGTGTATTTCAGTCAGTCTGCCTGTTCTGTTCCCCACTGTCTTTGGTGAATCCTCTCACCACCACCCCACACCTCTGGCCTGTACCCCAGTTCTTGTATGCATAAATAAACCTTTGAAAAAATTTTTAAAAATTACCGTTTAAAAAAAAGAATAAAAACCACCATTGGGAAATCCATATATTTACTTTTTATTGAATTTGTTAATGTTACAAGAGTTCTTGCACTGTCAAACCATGCCTGAGAATTCAAAGAAATGGTACAATGGACAGCCTCATCAACCCATCATACAGTATATTAAAACTTGATTCATGTGCATTTTGAGAATTTCACAATCTTTAAAAAGTTACAAGAGTTGGAATTTTAAATCTGCAGATCTTCAGATTACTAGTACAGTATGCCATTAAATAACATATTCATCCCAGTTGATTCCTCTGTAACATAACCCAACAAAATTTGCTGGGAAAAAAATGCATACTTTTTATCGCTTTATCACCCAACCTCTCCTTGGCTGGCTCAGCTACTCACCCAAATATATCAGATAGACATCCTGCCTGCCACCTCAAATAACCAACATTATGGCCCAGACCTGGTCAGCATGTCCTGTCAAGTGATATTATAACTCCCCTAGGAGTCAGAGTCCCCTGCATGACAGTTGTACCCAGACTGATCTATAGGAAAATGCTCCACATCAGGATTGTTTTACTCACGCATCTGCATCACTCTTGCCTGCAGCGTGTCACAACTCTTGCACTTGGCAAAGGGATTTATTATAGAGAAACCCAGGCTCTATCAAGTGGTCACATACCACTCTGAAATATTTTTGCTGAACCAAAGATAAAAAACTAGGAAATTACCAGATTATCTCATGAGATGGAAAGAAACCGTCAGAAATCATGGAGAGCTTACTTGAGTCCCTTAATTAAGGACCAAAATTTACGGGATATCGTAAGCTGTAATTATTAAAAACCGAAGTGCTACATCACCTGTCTTTTGCCCCTAACTCTCCAAATCAACAACATAAAGAACATACTGAAAGGCTGACAATAGCGCTATCGGGGACAATCACTGCATCTATAATGCCCGATACCTGAAAGATTTGGGCACAAGTATACTGGGAATTCTTGTCAAAGATCATGCAAGGTCCAAGAAACTTCAGTGGGCTTAGGTGAGGTCTGCTCACATTTCTTTGAATTTATAAGGACAGGTCAGTGAATCCCGTGGCCGAAGCAGATACTATGCCCTTGACCCTTCCACTGCAGCTTACTTCACAATTTAGACCTGATTCAAGGAGGCTGTAGCAGCACCTGAAGTAGAGCCCCCTGCATCCACTGCCCTTGACATCAAAAGCCATTTGGTTCCACTCTAGGGATTGGCAAAGTCAAGAGACACTTCACAATTCTACCGCATATTTCAGGTTACTCAATGACCCAAGCAATATGCTCCAAAGAACTTATTCGAAGTCAATGTGTAAAAGGCCTTAATGTGGAACAGAAAAAGCACTACCCGAATAAAAAACTAAAAGAAACAAGATCATTCCCTCCCCCACCCCCTTTCCCACCTGGTGGACCCAAGTTTGGTTGAATTTGTGGTTACCTCAGAATACAACTCAAAGTTGAAATTAGAAATCACAGCCCTACCGATGACCTGAACACATCAGTTCTCTTGAGCGGCATGTTCCAGAAGTCTTAACACAGCCACAGCCCACTATGGAGTATTTTTAAGGGTGGGGCACAGGACAGGTTAATTAAGGTCACTTAAATCTTCATCTTTTACAGCAGATCAAAACCCAGATGGCTGACTTTCTGCAGGATTTCTGATAGGAATCCAGTAGAGCTGGTTTCAAGTTTCATATTGACACTTAATAGCAGTAACCTTCTTATCCAGAAGTTGTGATCCACATGAAGTCCACAATGAGTGCAGCAAATCTGAGGTAGTCAACCCTTACGGAGGCTCAGTATCTGAACATAAAAAGATTTTGAAATGACCACTGGCTGAAGTTTGTTTTTGTATTTGCAAAGTAATTATGAAAGAACACTGCTGAATATAGCTCACGCATTTATGAGACAACGAAAATCCCCCTAAATGCAATACACATTAAGAGTAGTTGTGACACTTTCAACTTCCATAGTGCAATAGGCTCGATCACTTATATTGAGTAGTCTGCATCAGTTGCTGTAGATCCAGCAGAAATCAGATGATGAATGGCTGTTCATGGTGGTTAGCTGTGGTCTAGTTACCTTGGAAGGGTTAGCAAAGACCATTCGTTAATTGTACTGAGTGTGGCTGCTTTTCTGATTTTCAAGCACAGCATACTGGTTGTCTAGCTGAAGTTTAAGGGCCTGGTTTTTTGAAACCTCGTCCCTACCTCTATTTTTGTGTCTTACTACTTCAAAGCTCTTCTCCATTTCTTTATCCCTAAGGGAAAAGAAATGTAATCAGTAAATATTTCTAGATAGTTTTGAAAATATCTTAGTTGAATTAAAAAAAAAAAAAACCCTTAGGAAAATCTTGAGGAAGAGACATGAGAAAACTGGTATATAACATTCCTACCAAACCATAAAAGGCTTCAATTCAGCAGAAAACAATACTGTCCTGAAGTTGATCCTATTTCTGTGATGACAAATTCACTGGATACTATTAAGTGCAAATCTAATTCAGGACCAACTCAAAGACAACCGCAAAGTTAGAAAGCAGTCTAATGACAGGACCATTTCTTCTAAGACTTATTTTAGCAAATTTCTCTCTGCATAAGGACAATTTTCTCATTCAAGATTTGCTTATTATTCAGTGATTTCTCCTCACTTCTACTTAATAGAAGTGGATTAGATAAAGAAAGATGACTATGGTGAATCACTGCCTTTCCTCAGAAGTCCCTTATTTTGTAGGACAGAGCAGAGCAGCAAGTTCAAGTGGAGGTTTAAATTGAAGCCAGCTGTGCTTTTACTCAAGGGCAAAAAGGCTGGGATTTAGTTAAGTCACCCCAAAAACCATTATTTCCATCTGATATCATTTACATTTCTTCCCATTTTATTTACTTTAATAATTTCATGTCCATAAATAAGATGTGGATGTGCCACACGTGGTCATTTAACTCCAGATTGCATTCATTTTAACTACCTGCTGAAATAAGATTTTACTATTAGATTTATAAATGCAAACATCTTTCATCTATATTCACATTAACTGGGATTACACAAAACGATTGTGCCTACATTTCTACTTCCCATGTTACAAAGAATACAACCAGCAATAATATACTCATGTAAAGAATTTTAACTAAATGAGACTAGTTACAGAACAACAAAAACCAAAACAGAAACTTGTAGTTTATCTTTTATGCTCTTTCCCTCTGCCCCTCCAGAACCTTATTCCCTTCCCCCTATCTGGACACAAAAGTCTTACTCTAATTCTCCACCGCCTGTTTGTTTTTTTCAACCTGGGCTTTTTCAACATGGAGTAACCCCACCCCCAACCCAGGGATAGGTCTTGCTTACTTACTTCCGGCTTTCTACATGCTTGGCAGTGGACTGCAGGGATGGGAACTGTGTATCGCTGTAGATCTCTGGTGGTCCTTGTGGTGTTTTCCTTGTTGTGGTTAACCGGGCACCAGGAGGCCTATATACACCACTAGTCATTGCCGTTTCTGGGGCTTCTGTAACTAAAGTTATGAGCAGTTTTTAGAACCTAGTCAAATGCCTGACATTTTAATAAGTCATTCCTGTGTTTCTATCATTTAGAAATTAGAGGGAAAACAAACAATGCCTGACCTAAGAAGGATCTTGGACAACACAAGTTATCTGAGAAAATGTCTGAAAGTGAAAATATTCTACTATTCTGATAAAGTAGTTGGCCAACTCCTCTTTCACGACTCGCATTATCTACATAGATGCGTTCTATAAGTCAACTTACTGGAAATGGGAAAGGAATCTGCTAGACTTGGGAGACAGGCCTCATCAGGGACTGCCTTTCAGAGAGTATGACTAATCCACTTTACAGATCAATAAATGTTGATAATCACTTCTTTACCTGGTTGGTAGATTAAGATGCCATGTGTAAAGAATTTATTTAATGATAATAATAATAAAAAAAAAACCTGTGTCATTTTTCAATTGTAAAGAAAAGAAACTAGTTAAAAAAAAAAAAAAAAACAAGAAGCAAAATGGGCCTCCTTGGTGGCGCAGTACTTAAAGTCTCAGACCTGTCAAGCTATTGCCAAGCACTGCAACATGAGTTCGATTCCCAGGCAAGGTGCTAACCCACATATGGTGCTGCAAACCTCAACTGTTTTGCCCAATGCTCCCCTCAGCAGTATATATCAGTAGATCTGCCTGTTCTGTTCCCCACTGTCTCTGGTGAATCCTCTCACCCCCTGCACCTCTGGCCTACCCTCCAGTTTTTCTATGCATAAATAAATCTTTAAAAAAAAAAAGACTAATAAAAAAATCCTTAATTATTTCATTGAGTCTACATCAGCAATGGATTTTTTCTCAAGCTGCTTCTTTATTTTCTCATACTACACAGGTAAAACAGAAAGGGAAAAAATAAGCTGCGGGAAAGCCCAAAGTCCTCCAGATTTTCCCTATGTTTCATTTCCCATTACAGGACATTTTGTTCTCCACTTATCAGAAACTTCATTTCTACATCATTAATTAACTGAAATATAATGTAGTTATTTCAATACTTCTATGAAGACTTTTATAATCTTATATAACTTTAATTACACAGGAAAAAGTATCAATTTAACATTCTTTCATTCGTTTCTGAGTACCTACTATGGGTTAGGTGCTGACTTAAACTACACAGTAGGGATACAAATACTAACAAAACCCCTGTCCTCATGACAAGTATACTCTAGCCATTATCCACTTGTGGTTATTTAAATAAAATTTAAAACTCAGTTCCTGAGTCACTATTGGCTATTACACTGAATGAGCAGTGCTATCGCAAAGGGAGGAAAGAAAATACATAAAAAGGCGCTATGCCAAAAATTTAAGCAGGAAGGGCTTGTAAAGACAGCACAAGATGGGTGGAGTGGAATTTGAAATAAGATTGTCTGGAGGGTGTCAGACATGACGTGAACCGAGCAAAGGCCTTACAGTAGTTAGGAGGCAAACATAAAGCTAAAGTTCACAGACAAGCTAAATTCAGTACAACTATTGATTTTGTAAATGTTTCACTGAAACTTATCTATACTGATTAGGTATACATATCCTTCACAGCTATGTGTATGCTACACTACAACAGTTGAATAATTAAAACACTCTGTCCCTCAAATTTACTATTGGTCCTCAAAAAAAAAAAAAAAAAAAATTTCTGGGGACCTCCCTGGTGGCACAGTGGTTGAGCGCTGGGTTGCGAAGCTGCCCGCAGCCTCTACAGTGCCGGTTCGATCCCCGGCCACCGGGCGAGGCTCCCACATGGCGCTCAGACCTCTCCTGGCGCCCGCTGCTCCCCTCAGCAGTGTACTTAGTCAGTCTGCCTGCTCTGCCCTCCTCTCTGGCTCTGGTGAATTCTCTCACCCTCCTGCACTTCTGACTGTACCCAGTGCTTGTATAAATAAATAAATCAATCTTTAAAAAAAAAAAAAAAAATCTGGGTCTCCCTGGTGGTGCAAAAGGTTAAGACGCAAACTATGAAGCTATCCGCAGCCTCTGCAGCACGAGTTCGATCCCTAGTCAGGGAGATACCCACATGGCGCAGCAGACCTCTCCTGACTTGCCTGCTGCTACTCTCAGCAGTGTATTTCAGTCTGCCTGTTCTGCTCCCCGCTGTCTCTGGTGAATCCTCTTACTCCCCACACCTCTGGCCTGTATTTATGAAGTTCTTGTATGCATAAATAAATAAATCTTTCCCAAAAAATTTGGAAAAAAAAAAGTCTTTAAACTCCCTCTATAAAGTAAAGCAAGGCCTCCCCTGGTGGCACAGCGGTTGAGCACTGGGCTGCGAGGCTGCCCGCAGCCTCTGCAGCGCTGGTTCAATCCCTGGCCGCCGGCAAGGGTCCCACATGGTGCACAGACCTCTCCTGCCGCACCCACTGCTCCCCCCAGCAGTGTATTTCGTCCGTCTGCCTGTTCTGTTCTCTGCTCTGGCTCTGGTGAATTCTCTCACCCTCCCACACTTCTGACTGTACCCAGTGCTTGTATAAATAAATAAATAAATCTTTAAAAAAAAATACATAAATAAAGCAAATTCTAGGATGAAATTGTAAGCACAAAGGGCCTGCAATAGCAGTATGCCTGGTATATTCAAGGTGCAGAGGGAGCCAAGATCAAACTTACAGAAAGAAAAAGTGAGAAATAGGGTAGCACAAGGCAAGTGGGGAAAAGTCTTACAAGTTTCTAAAAATGGTAGCTTCTACTCAGATGAAAGTGCCAATGGAGGATTGTGAAAAGCATGTAGGGACACAGTCTGCCATGAAAAGATCACCATTCTGGCTGCTTGCTGTGTTGAGAACACAGTATACATAAGTATAGAAAAAGACACAAGCAGACAAGTAAGAGGTGACACCTCAGTAAACCATAAAAGAAATGATAGTCCAAAAGCAGACTGGCAGCCACAGAACTGGTAAGAACTGGACACACAATCAGCCTGTATTTATTTATTTATTTTAAAGATTTATTTATACAAGAATGGGAGTACAGGCCAGATGCGCGGGAGGGTGAGAAGATTCACCAGAGACAGAGCAAGGAGCAGAACAGGCAAATTGATGAAATATACTGCTGAGGGGAGCAGTGGGCAAGACAGGAGAGGTCTGCCATGCCATGTGGGTATCTCCCCAGCTGGCCAGAATCAAACCGGTGCTGCAGACAGCTTCACAGTGCTGCACTCAACCCGCTGTGCCACGGGGGAGGCCCCTGATTTTATTGTTAAAGTAAAATCAAAAAGAATTTACTGATACATTTAGGTTTGGAACAAGAGAAGGCAGTCAAAGATAACTCTAAGATGTGTGGCCTAAGTGAATGAAAGAGCACTGTGGTGAGAGACAGAGCAGATACACAAGTTCAGTTTCAGACTTGCTGAGACTGAGGTGCTGGTAGGCAGCTAGGATATGCGTTTGGAGTTTAGGGAAAATCTGAGCTGGTGATGTAATTTAAGAATTGCTGGCATACGGAGATTGCCAAGGGAGTGAGGATGCCAAGGAGAAGATACCAGCGAAGAGTGAGAACCAACAAGGGAACGGGAGAATGTGGGGTCCTGGAAGTCAAGAGAGTAATGTGTCTCAAAGAGGTGCTCCAATCACGCTGACAGCATAAATAAGATGAGGACTGACACTTAGGGATAGGATTTAGGAATGTAAGGGCCACTAGGAATCACTGGTAGATACTACCTGTTCTCTCCTATTAAGATGTAGTTAAAAAAAAAAAAAAAAGTTAAATGAAGAAAATCCAGACTAGAAACCCAGAAGGATGAAAAAATTGTTGTAATACAGCACAGGTATCTAAATTCTAACAGATTCAGAATTACTCGCTGTCCTTTTTTATTCTGTGTAGAGTAATAATGGGTATCACTACTTAAAATAGTGTTTCTTAAACATCTTCATTATTGTCCTCCTAAGAACCTTCTTCCTGATCACGACTCCACCACCAAGACATGTTAATACCAGAGAGAATTCATAAAATAGTAAAGACAATAAAATGGGAAATGGAGGGAAGATTAAATGACACAAGCACACAAGCACCCAATCTTCTCCAGTGCGTTAACAGCTGGGTGAGTCAGTTTACCTAGAAGCTTAAGCAGCCAGCATCTTAACTGCCAAGCGTTATCAACATCCATATACCAATCTCTCCGGGAAAAGAAACCCACTCATCCCACTGTAAGCCTGCATTCAGCTCAAGCTGACCACACACCGTCACGCACCAACAGCTTTATCATAATGAGACATGAAGATTACCGATTGCTGGAGCAGGTGGTGCTTGCACCGGGGCTGTTTTATTCCAGGGGCCTGAGGACTTCTCCATGCCACCACCACCACCTCCGCCGCCTTCCTCCCAGTTATCACCCGGATCTTCTCGTTTTTCGTTGTCGTCTTCTTCCTTTTCACTATTGGAAAAGCAAACGAATTCAATTACAGAGCCACCAGAAAAATCCAGTGCAAATTCTTCCTCTTACTGATATTTATCTGTGTAATCCCGGAGAAGTCAATCTCTTCAAAACTCAAATGCCTCTCCTCACTTGTTTCAAAGACACAGACAAATCAGGGCTTTAATCTCTCTTACACACGGAAACTTATAATTGACTTAACACGAAAAGAGGATTTCACTGCTTAAAAAGTTTAGGAAAGCAGAGATTCCACCTCCCCTTTTTGCACTCAAGAACATTTAAAAATATTTAATGTACTGACATGTCAGGCTTTCGACAACCTGATGATCTGTGTGATTATTCAGTCATGTAAGAGCAGGACCCCAGCTACCACTGCAAATAAGGAGAAAGGTCCAGCTAACCTGAAATGTGGAGAAAAGGGTGACTTGACTGATTAAAAAAAAAAAAAAAAAAAAAAAAAGTGTAATCACATATTTGTAGAACCAAAGTGTACAAACAGGCACGTCAGTAAGCATTGTTTTAGTAATCAAATGGTTTCTAAAAGTTATACAACTTAATTTTGTTTATCCTTTAGCACATTACAAAATATTCTCGAAACCAGAATTCACATTCCACCTGAGGAAATCAAATCAGTGTTCAGTGCTTACATCAGTGTCACAGATTTTTCTATTATTGCCAGTCTCCACTCTCTTCTGACACAGTGGTATAGGGTACATATAACTGGTTCCACACTAGTTACATATTCTTCACCCATTTAAAAAAGAAAAGACTAGGGCCTCCCTGGTGGTGCAGGGGTTAAAGTCTCAGCACTATCAAGCTATCCCTTGGCCAGGGAGCTAACCCTCATGGTGCAGCAGATCTCTCATCTTGCCTGCTGCTTCCCTCAGCAGTGTATTTCAGTCAATCCACCTGTTCTGCTCCACACTCGGTCTCTGGTGAATCCTCTCACTGCCTCCTCCCTCCCGGCGCCACATCTCTGGCCTATACCCTAGCTCTTGTATGCATAAATAAAATAAATCTTAAAAAAAAAAAAAAGACTGTAAGAACTTGGTCTTTGGCTTACCAGTGGTTATAAACACAAGGAAATAGCTGCCAAATCAACCTTCCTTTTTTGCAACCCTTTGCCCTTGCTGATGAAGTATCTGGCACAGACTACTGACCTTTTCCCTGATAATGGTGGCTTTTCCCAAGTCTTCATCTAATCAATCTCCGTAACTATTCTATCTTTCCTCTCCTATTAACATGGCTGGCCCCTAAAGCTCTGTCCCTGGCCTTTCACTTAGACATTTTCTCCTTTTGGTATACACAGATCCCTTCCACCCTGACTGAGTGACCCTGTGAACATCATAGCTTCTCTTGGCTTCTGGGAAAGGATCTCTAAGGGTGCATTCCTTCCATTTTTATTAAAACAATTTCTGGCAATAAGACATACTTCTTGAATAGCTAATGGCCTCGTTTAAAGACACTTAGCAAATGGAAACATCCTATAAATTGCCCACCGACCAGAGGTGATTCTAGAACTGGGGCTTAGAATGGCAATCAATCTGCATTTAGAGCAATGTAGTCTGAGTAAAAAATGATGGAGGAGAATGTGCCCAAGTCACCTTCAGTTTTCCTTTCTGTTAACACAGTAGAATCCTACTCAGTCATTTAAAATGTTAGGCCTGTGTTAATGTAACACTTATGTCATATAGACCGACAATGTACTTAAACAAAACCTGTACAACTAGAATGACTTTTATAAATTATGTTATAAGAAGTAGCTCTGAGTGCTAGAACCCAAGACTATTTTCTCAGGTAACAAGCATGTATGAGCAGTTTTCTAAAGTCAAACCATATACACTTTGCCATTTACCAAGCAAAAAAGTCTAAGCAGTATTTTGGTTAGACATGATTTAAATATTCTATTACTTTTTCATATTTACATATTTCAGAAAATATCATATCTCCAAATGCCTAAGTCAAAACAAGATGCATGCCACAATTATTCTGATAGGAGAAAACTAGGTTAAATTAGTGTTTGACCCAAATAAATAGCTTCTCATTGGGTTAAGTTTCATGTTTTTATATACTACAATGTTACTGTAAACTCATTATCACAATTCAAAAAGTATGCTATCTTAAAGATGGCTAAGTCTGTAAGGAAGTACTTACTGGTGGGGTAGGAGGCATGATGATTCTAGAAAGGGAATATTTACTGAGCATCTACTATGCCAGGAAGCATTCTAACCACTTTATAAAGTTAAACCTCACAATAATATTAAGACAAGACTCACTGTAAATAAGGGAGGAATACCCATACATTTATGTACCCTCATAGGAGCTACGAAGTAGCAGAGCCAAGTCAGTAGAACTCCAGGGACGTTTTCTTTCAGGTTGCCTCATCTCATTTTACCCTCTTTTCAGTTCTAAGATATGACACTGAAACTTACCCTATTTTGAGATCTGAAAGATTCACATTCTGCAATAAGGTTTATGAGGATTACACATCCTGCAGCTGTATGTTTATAAAGAACAGAACACTGTTACCTCCTACCTCAAGGGACATTACTTGAGAATTTATGCATCCTAATCTCCATTTCCCCAAATAACAAAATCCAGACTTGACTACACTTCTGCTGGAATGCCAGGCATCTCCACTGGTGACCCTGTGATTCAACCACTGTTACATTAGTAAAATAGAGGTAGAAAAGGCCTTATGAGCTATGCCTAGCCGCTTAAAATGTCACTACACGCCAGCCAAGGACTTCTTGACCCTTTCATGGTATACGATCTTTCTCCTTTGCCCCATAGCACAGTGCACATCACCGATCTCCTGTTGTTAAGTAGAACATGTGTAATTTCTACAACCCCAAGACACAGAACAATGTCCTATCTGACACACATTAGTTGACATTTGCTACAATGAATCTATGGATGCAAGAGTAATTTCTTCAAATTAAAACTTAACTAGCTCTACCATTAATCCATTAGAGATTATAGGTCTAGCTTTCTTATGATGCTTCCCAGAAAGTCACCAGGTTCCCATAACTCAACTCTTTATTGGAAATGACAAGTGCTCAAAAATTCAGTAACCTCAAATATTAAATGAAATCTTTTTCCACAAAATGCATTTAAAAGATAGGCAAGGTCCTTGGGTCCTATTCAACCAATAATCTAAACTCTAGTGCTCTAAGTCCCTTCTCTCATCTTTTTTTTTTTTTTTTAAGATTTATTTAGTTATTTATACAAGCACTGGGTATAGTCAGAAGCGCGGGAGGGTGAGAGAATTCACCAGAGCCAGAGAGGGGAGCAGAACAGGCAGAAGGACCGAGGTACACTGCTGAGGGGAGCAGCTGGCGGCAGGAGAGGTCTGCGCGCCATGTGGGACCCTCCTCTGGTGGCCGGGGAGCAGCTGGGGATCGAACCGGCACTGCAGAGGCTGTGGGCAGCTTTGCAACCCAGAGCTCAACCGCTGCGCCACCGGGGAGGCCCCCCCTTCTCTTATCTCTATCTCAATGACTACCCTCCTTCAAGATTTGTCTAAAAACGACATGACTTTGAATAAGACCTATTAAATAGACACAATATTTGACACATACCCTTTTTAATACTCTTGGTACTTAGATCTTCAGCTAATTGGTAAATGAGAGACAGGATGTTAATATAACACATTTGCAGCTACTTAAAAATTCCCTTTTAAATGTACATTTATCTTTGATAAAGGTAACCTTTACCAAACCTTTTTCAGTTGCATGGTAACCAACTACAACTGTCAAGAACATTAAGACTGTGCTATATCCACAACTCACAAGATAAATGTGGAAATATGATGGGTAGCACTAAGCAAAAAGTATAAGGGCATTTATTTTACCAGTCTTGCAACTTTTTTGAGGACTGCTAACTTTTCAAATCAGAAAGTTGGGAGAAAAAAATATAAGATTCTAGGTTGAGAATTTCAAGGTAACATTAAGTCAACCTCCAAAGTTTCATGTTCCCTTGTCCCAGTTTTGAGATAGCAAGGATTTCTTGCCCATGAATTTAAAAAAAAAAAATTAAAGGTATAAAGTGCCTCCCTCCACCAAAAGGTAAAACCTAGTCATATGATAATATTTTAAGATCTTGGACCTCAATCACCTGCCACTTTGGCCTGAATTCGATCCCTGGCCAGGGAGCTAACCCACATGGCACAGCAGACCTCTCCTGTCTTGCCTGCTGCTCCCCTCAGCAGTGTATTTCAGTAGATTCACCTGTTCTGCTCCCCACTGTCTCTGGCGTATCCTCTGACTCCCTGTGCCTCTGATCTAGACCCCAGTTCTTGTATGCACAAATAAAATAAATCTTAAAAAAAAATGTTCAAGATCTTTAGCAATGTTTAATACTAAGAGGAATCTTTGTATGGTTATAATACCAAGCTGAATGTGTCATTTTCTTCTATTATGTTCACAGTGAACTGACTCACCAGAGTTTGACTATAGTCGTGACAATCTTAAGTTTCCACTCTACTTTCTCCTCAAATCTTGGTATTATAATTCAGATGCCTGATGACTAAAGTAATAGAAATTCTCAAAGTCACTCTAACTTAGATTAATATTCACCAAGGGGATATTCTACAAACACTGCTCAAAGAGATCCTCATAACAATCTGAGTAGTTCAATTTTGCATACAAAAATCAACATCTAAAGGTAAAATGACACCTCTAACATTACACACATAAGCAGCAGGACTAAAACAAAAACTCACTTTTGTCTTGCCCCAAAGTCTATGTTTTAGTCCTAACCTCAACTCTATCCCACTTAACGTGTGTAACCAACCTGCTTCCCACTCTTATGAACTAACATGTCTTTCCTTGGGATGCCCCACTATGAGTTTCACTGTTAACATTTAATATTAAGTTTATATTCAGTATAAAAGCAAACATTTTAGACATTGTTATCTAAACCTCAAATGGATTCTCACCCTTAAGCCTTTCCTGGACACAGTTGAAATCCTCCTTGAGGAATGATTTATGAAGGCAATGGAAATACAGACCCCAGACTCCACAATTACTGAGAAGCCGCTGAAGTTTCTGAAGAAGCAATGTTTTTCAATTTTAGGCTGGTGGAAGACCTTTTATCATCAATGAGAGGACACGAAGTATAATAAAAAACACATATAAAAACTGATCTTACTTAAGGTCAAGAATAATTTAAACGCAAACACTGAGATTTACTTATGCCCCTTGACAGAAGTGAGGTTGTGAGTGATTTAAGAAATGTCTCAGCTTCTCAAAAGTAGCCAAAAGAAGACAAACATAACCTTGCATATGGATATGGGAAGTACTTTCAATGGCAGCAAAGTAAGGCCTGTTTACACATTCTCCATAATGTAACAAAATCAATTCCTAGCATTCAGCGAGCTTGAAACCTTTTCCCCTTGGCAAGAGCTTACTCTTTCTTGGTAAGTTCAACCTAACCAAATTACTATCCCTCCTATGAAGTCTGCTAAAATCAGTACTTCAGGTCCTGCCATCCAGAAAGGATGACCAACACTTTTATTAAGCACTATGAAGCTATCCCCAGTGACTGCAGCATGAGTTCGATCCCTGGCCAGGGAGCTACCCGCATGGTGCAGCAGACCTCTCCTGACTCGCCTGCTGCTCCCTCAGTCAGTCTGCCTGTTCTGTTCCCCATTCTGTCTGGTGAATCCTCTTACCTCCCAACCCCACACCTCTGGCCTGTTCCCCAGGGCTTGTATGCATAAATAAATCTTTTTTAAAAATTCAAATAAAGGGCCTCCCCGGTGGCGCAGCGGTTGAGCGCTGGGCTGCGAAGCTGCGCGCAGCTTCTGTGACGCCGGTTCGATCCCCGGCTGCTCCCCGGCCACCAGAGGAGGGTCCCACATGGTGCGCAGACCTCTCCTGCCACCCGCTGCTCCCCTCAGCAGTGTACTTCGGTCCTTCTGCCTGCTCTGCTCCCCGCTCTGGATCTGGTGAATTCTCTCACCCTCCCGCGCTTCTGACTGTACCCAGTGCATGTATAAACAAAACAAACAAACAAACAAACAGATAAAAAAAAAAAAAAAAAAAAAAAAAAAATTCAAATAAAGCCAAGTGGTTGGGAATAAAACTCCAATCTAATCACTTACACAAAGGGATCTCAAGAGAAGTCACATTTCCTGAAAGTTTCATACTGTTAATTGGGTTACCTTTGGTTTAGCTCATGAAATGTTTTGAAAGACCCAGGGACAGGAATGCCTAGCTGAGGCAGGCACTTCAAGTTTGCTGAATGCTGGGAATTGATTTTTTTAATATTATGGAGAATAAACTGTGCTTACTTTTCTGCCATTACCCCTGGTTTTTGAGTAAGTTACTTAAGGCTTAAAATACTACCATCTAGGGCCTCCCTGGTGGCCCAAGGGGTTAAGTTTCAGCACTATCAAGTTAGCTCAAGCCAGTGAGTTAACCCATGGTACAGCAGACCTCTCCTGTCTCACCTATTGCTCCCTTCAACAGTGTATTTCTGTAGATTCACCTGTTCTGCTCCCCACTCTGTCTCTGGTGAATGCTCTCACCCCCTGCACCTCTACCTCTGCAGATATCTCGTATCCATAAACAAATCTAAAATAAATACTACCATCTAGAAAAACCAAGACAGTTAAGGAAAATGATCTTCACTGTGTTACATGGTTGCTGGCATTGGGATTATTTATTTCACTAAGGGTTTTTAATCTCAAACCAATGGAATACTATAGTCACCTGTTTTTTCCTTATTATGAACCCCTTAAATTGAGTTATTGATGTGACTGTAAAATTGACTACCACAGATTTAATTTGATAAAACATGTTAATTTCAAATCCTCTAAGCCAACAAATCCAATTTTTAAAAAGTAATGCTTCCTAACTTAAAGTTAACACACTTTGGCTACATGATTACATCCCTATAAAAGTTTAGGGGAAATTAATCTAGTGTCAGGATACGTATTAACCCCGCTGGTGAAGGCAGTCACTACAAGGTGTTAGAGGGGTGCTTTCTTCTGTACCAATAAAGTTCAATTTCTTGATTTCAGTGATTACACAGGCTTGGCTTTATTGCATGAAAAAGTAAAAAAAAAAAAAAAATTGTACTTCTCTCGAGTATGCGTCCATTACAAAAATACGTATTATCAGAGAGCTGAAACAAAAACTAAATTCCACCAACCTGAAAGTAAAATTTCTGAAACCACATAATTCATTTTAGCTGTCTCCAATAAAAAGGCCTAACCAGGGCTGGAAGTAGGCAAGCTCTCACAGGATTTTGGAGCTGGCAGCTCTCTGATCAGCACACAGACAGCCGTGAGAGAGGAATAGACACAACCCATTAGAGTCCTAATAAGCATATCTAAACCACAAGGCTACCATTATCCAGTTTAGGCGCTAAAGAAAATCCAAACATACAATCCCTGTCCTAAGGGTTATCTAAACACATTTGTAACCAGACCATACCTTATTTGCATTGCCTGAACTCTTAGGCCGCTGTAATCAACCTCTTTTTGCTCAAATTCTTTCCACTCATCTTCATCCTGCAAAACACATAACTTTTGCTCAATTACAGTTATTTGTGACAACTAAGGCACATTTCAGACAACGAAAAGGGCGCTCCAAGGACTGGAATCTCCAGTGTGGAACTGCTTTCAGGTCACAGACCTTGCTTCACTCCTAGGCCGACTACCCTGGAGGACAAACGTGTCCAAAGCCAACCACCGTTTCCTTCCACCGGGTTCCAACGTGAGCGCTGCTTTAAAAGCAACCAGGAAAGCCGAGGGACTCCAGCACCAGTAACCTCACAACTAGCCGTCCGCCTCAAGGTGGCCACGAGACTTTTTTCCTCCACGGGCTCAGAGCACGGGTCATGCCAGAAACGAGAATGTTAGAGAGAAAAATCCAGCTCCGACCGCCGGGCTGAAGTCAGACACTAAATTACTCGGGGCAGACGTCGCTCACACATGCCGGCCCGTGCCGGGCACTAGGGCGCACCCCGCTTTCCCGTGGAGGGAGCTCTGCCTGGGTCGGGCGGGTCGGGGCGCGGGGGTCCCCCGGAGTTGGGGCGCCCCGGCCCGCCGGGGGCGGCCCATGTCACGTGGCCAGTCACCGCGCCCGTCCCGGCCGGCCCGGCGGCCCCCCCGACGCCTCCCCGGGCGGGGGCGGGCCCAGGGGCGCGAGCACGCCGCCGGCCCGGGGCCCCGGCCTCCCCGGCCCCTCACCTTCGTCACGGCCTTGGTGGTGGCCGCGGCGCCGGCGGCCCCCGCGCTCGCGGTCGCGCCGTCGCCGGGCCGGGCCCCCGCGCCCGCCCCGCCGCCAGCCGCGCCGGGGACTCCGCTGCTCCCGCCGGCGCCGCCCGCCGCGCCCGCGGCGCTCGCCGCCCGGCTGCTGCGCTCCTTCTTCTTCTTCTTGTCCCTCTTGGCGAAGAAGTTGTCCAGGCTGCGCTCCTCCGTCTCGGCCATGGCCGCGGCCTCCTCCGCCCGGATGGGTGGGGCCGGCGGCAGGCGCGGCCCGCGGGGCTCGGAGCGCGGGGTCGAGGCCGGCTCGGCGCTCACGCTCCCGGGCGCGGCGCCGCCTCAGCCCCGCGGGGCCGCCGAGGCGCGGGCGGTGGGGCGGCGGCTCCCCTCCGCGTGCCGGCGGGAAGGGGCTCGGCCCGCCTGGGGAACCGCGCGCTCCGGCCGCCCGCCGAGTCCGTCGAGGCTGCCGCCGCTTTCGCGACCGCGACGCCGGAGCCCGCCCGCTCCGCAGGCGGAGGGGAAAAGGAACGCGCGGTCCAGCAGCTCCGGCTCGAGTGCTGGGCTAGCGGCGGCGCGTGCAGGAGGAAGACGCGCGCGCGCAGGCCCAGAGAGGAGGGGAGAGGGGGTGGGGAGGGGAGGGAGGGGGAGGAGGGAGGGCGGGCCGTCCGAAGAGAGAGGCAGCGCCTGCGCCTGCGTACTTAGTCCGCCCGCCGCTGTGGGAGCGCGGAGGGGAGGGGAGCGGGGGGAGACGGAGGGGGAGCCGGCAAGGGAGCCAATCAGGAGCCAGGACGAAGTGCTTAAGCGACAATCCCTTCCTCGGACGGGGCGGGGCCGTGACGTAAGCGGAGAGAGGCGGGTCTATGCTAAATAAGTTACGCGCAGGAGGACCCCGGCCTCCCGATTGGCCGAGGGGTCAGCCTAGAAGGCGGGCGTTGAGAGGGCTGCTTGGTGACTTGGCTAAATGAGGTCGGGCCAAAGGGGCGGCGGAGCGCGTCTGGACGCATGCGCAGGGTACACGTGTTTCTTCTCGCCCGGCGCTCGCTGTGGCCTTGTAGTCGGGTGAACTTCTGGGAAACGGAAGGCGCATGAAGCCGTCGGTGTTTAAAGTGCCTCCTGCTCTGCTCGCCTCTATACTTCCTTTGTAGGCTGGCAACTGTTTTCATTTTACGGGATTATGATGAAGCGAAAGGAGCAGTGGGTTTAAAGTTCAGGTCTCATTTACTGAAACAGCTTTAATATGCCAGGACGTAATGGAAGTGGATTGATTTTTGTCTGAACTCCACTTTCTGCTGGATATGGCAAGATCAGACGAAGTCTGACCTTCAAGCTCTTCATTTATAAAATGGGGACAGTCATCTGTAAAATGGGAAGATTAACTTCAGAGGGATGTGGGGGAGGAGCTGCTACTAGCTGCCCAGCATTATGCTTAATGCGCATTAGATAAGAGATAAATGATTTTAAAACACATTTACATAGCGCCCACTGCCCTGGCTTGAATCTGGATGACGATTGCAGCTTATCTTTACCCCTTTTTCCCTGCTAACAGGAGGGGATGGTGTCTAGTAGGTGTGGAGATAAAATGCTCATGCTAACCCTGGCTACCATGTTAGTGCCCTCTGGGTCTTGAGAGTGAAGTTAATCCTTGTGTATGAAAAAGGTGGTTTAATGTAAGTTTAAAGTGTTAAACTTTCCACTTCCTTCTAAGGACAGAGGAGAGGGTTGTCACAACGACTGAGGAAATGAGTCAGATGTGTTAGTACATAAACTGCCCCCAACCACTCAGGATAGGAATAGGTTTCCTCTGTGACACCAGTTATCATCCTGTGATGCAGTTCAAGTTCAGTACTGGCTCCCCTCCCCTCTTAATATCTCTGATCAAATTTATTTTTCTTACCTATGAAGTACCTATTTAGCTATATTTAAGGCAAAAATATGCCTTATTCTAAATCGAGTATTCTGTCCTCCTGCCTATAACTAAATTATAATATACACGAGAAACTAGGTATGAATAGCTGGAATTCAGTACTCCCTTTCATAGGTTCTCATCAATGTATGAAAGTGTCTTGAAAGAATTAATGACTTAGGAAAATGCAGAGAAGTAACAGCAGCCAAGGGTTAACAGAAAAAAATAAAAATTCTTACTACACTTTTCAGTGTAATTGAACTTGATTATAAGAAATTCGGATCAGGCCAGTAGAGAGACCATTGTCTTTGTGGTTGTGTCACTCTGTAGTCACTCTCCATGCAGCTGGTCTCTTCCTCTTTCAATCTCCTGCCCTAGAACCAACAACATATATTCCCTGTTCTTTTCTTTTTAAAAAAACATTTATTTATGCATGTAAGAACCGGGGTATAGACCAGAGGTGTGGAGGGAGAGAGGATTCACCAGAGACAGAGTGGGGAGCAGAACAGGCGGATTGACTGAAATACACTGCTGAGGGGAGCAGCGGGCGAGTCAGGAGAGGTCTGCTGCATCGTGTGGGTAGCTCCCTGGCTGGGGATAGAACTTGTGCTGCAGTGGCTGCAGATAGCTTCATAGGCTGTGTCTTAACCCCTTGCGCCACCACAGAGGCCCTCCCTGCTCTTCTTAAATCTCCCCTGCACCTGCCTCCAGATTGGTTATAAAGGGTCCTGAATCTTACTGTCTTCACCCACTTCATTTTCACCCTACCTTCATCTCCAGTGCTTCCTCCAGCTCTCTTGAGGTTGATGTCTTGTCTACCTCCCAATGTATGCATCTTCCCCATGTTTGAAGTAAAACACATCTTCAGTTGCCCTTGCTAGATGGAAAGTTGAGTAACAGTGAGAACTCAAACCACCCCCAAGTAATTTAGCATGTCTTCTAAGGTTCCTAATGCTCTCTGAACGTGGAAATTTATCTTTGAGTCCTCTAAAGTGTTATAATCCAAAGGACATCTTTTATCTCCCACCACAAGGCCCACTGAGTTCTAATAATTGTTTTTTATTTTTATTTATTGATGCATACAACTGGGTACAGGCCAGAGGTATGGAGGGTGAGAGGATTCACCGGAGACAGGGTGGGGAGCGGGCAGATCTACTGAAATACATAGCTGAAGGGAGCAGTGGATGAGACAAGAGAGGTCTGCTGTGCCATGTGGGTCAGCTCCCTGGCTGGGGATGTAACTCATGCTGCAGTGGCTGGCGATAGCTTGATAGCACTGAGACTTTAACCCCAGCGCTACCAGGGAGGCCCTGAATCCTAATGCTAAGTGAACTCAAGACCTGGTAAAAGGTAGCTGGATCCAGGCCCATTGTCCTTGGGTTCTTTTGCTGAGCAATTTGTTCCAAGTTCCATTCTGCTACCTAGCTGGAAATTCCACACGTGCTCAGTTCAAAGGAATGTAGCTCAGGCTGGCCAAAGAGCTTGCCAGGAAATGGGGAGCAACTTTTCATTTGTGGCTTCCTCTCTAACATCTGTGAGGCAGACCTGTGCTACTGCCTGAGTTCCACCAATCTTTTCCAGTTGGGTAGCAGCTGTTTGCAGATCACCTCCTCTGGGGAGTCTCTGTTGACTTTTCCTACAGGGAACTGGGTTTCCTGACCTCTACAGGCCCTGAGACCTTTCCTTTGATATGGTATTTGTTGCCTTCCTGTTATTTCCATGATTTGTTCTTTAATCCCTATATTCAATCATTTATTTATTCACTCATTTATGTAAGACATTTATTATGGGCCTCCGTGGTGGCCCAAGGGGTTAAGATACAACCTCTGAGACTGTCCACAGCCACTGCAGCACGAGTTTGAGCAGACCTCTCCTGCCTCGCCCGCTGCTCTTCTCAGCCGTGTACTTCGGTCAATCTGCCTGTTCTGTTCCCCACTCTGTCTCTGGGGAATCTTCTCACCTCCACACCTCAGACCTGTACCTCAGTTCTTGTATACATAAATAAATAAATCTTTTCTATAAAAAAAAATTATTAAATGAGCACTTAAAAAAAAAGATTTATTTATTCATGCATAATAGGAGCTGGGGCACAGGCCAGAGATGTGGGGGTGGGGGTGGGGGGCAATGAGAGGATTCACCAGAGACAGAGCGGGGAACAGAACAGTCAGACTGACTAAAATATACTGCTGAGGGGAGCAGCGGGCAAGACAGGAGAGGTCTGCTTCACCATGTGGGTTGCTCCCTGGCCAGCTGGGGATCGAACCTGTGCTGCAGAGGCTGTGGATTGATTCATAGTGTGGTGCTTAACCCCTTGTGCCATCAGGAAGGCCCTAAATGAGCACTTATTAAATGCCATACCCGATGATAGAATTTAAGAATAAGTAAGCCTACCCTCACAGAACTTACTGTATCATAAGTTGATAGCTAGAAGCCCTTGCAATTGGGAATGGTATAAGGCATTCAGCCTACATCACACAAGTGTTTGATGTTTGTATAATGTCTAGTCCTTAGTTTTCCGTATTAACAGGGAAATGCACAAGCAGTCCTTTAAAACCATTCCTTGTTGACTTCAGAACACATTCTCTGTCATGTATAAAGAATTTGACCTTCTCCCTCAAGTCCCTCCATAATTCATCCCTGACATTAAAGTCTTGCTAGAGGATAAATGCACAGCAAGAAGAACAAGATGCCAGACACTGATGGCTACCTAGAAAAGCCTGTTTCCAAAAACAGCTAAAGGGCTGACATGAAATCCCCCCTCACACAAATGTACCTACCAACAGGGCTCAGAAAAACACTTAACTCATGAAACCCACCCCGAATGGATGCAGTCTGCTTTAGCTGAACCACAAGTGACTTCCACTTTTTTTTTACCTACAAAAGCAGCAATTTTGTATGGCTCAACCATTGATACAGCTGAGAATAAACAAAAAAATATTCCATGAATGAACAGCTTGGAACCACCAACCCACCCACCACAGTTGTAATCCCAGGGAGGTAACCTAATCAATTGTGTTGCATAGAGAACACATGAGACAAGGGATGATGTGGGACTAGGCTGGAGAATAAAAAGGAAGGAAAAAGAAATAAGGGTAAAGCCAAGAGGCCAGAGGTTGGCACTTAGTACACACCACTGTCCAGGACAGAACAACATGAAATTGTGCTCACACAGATACACCCTGCTGTGAGGCAGACATGACTCACCAGACACTAACCTGACTTGGATGAAATCTGCTTTCCTTAACTCTTAGGATATACTTACCTACCAGCCTGCCGCTGATGGACTTGGCTCCTGGGATTGCTGATAATGGAGAAAGTGACCCAGTTGGGAGAGGGGCGCTCCACCTTTTGAAGACCTGACACCTAC